TTTTATTTAGTCCTTTCCTTCTTCACCTTTCTCCTCTCCTCCGTCCCTCCCACTCTGATCTGAGAGCATTACTGCCATCTAGTGATCAGTTTATACCCCAGGCAGGGTGTTTGTTTAACTATAGCTGTCTGCTCACCAATACAAAGTGCCATCAATTACTGAAACGTCATCCCTCAGTTTCAGGGAGAATTAGCTTGGAACAAAGTTCAGGATAATTAGTTCCTAATCTCTCTCTCTATATCTCACGCACTCTGTGAGTTACTTTGTGTGTGTTTTTCTCTCTCTGTCCCTCCCCCTCTCTCTCATACTCGGGTTCTGAATATTACCTTTTCCATGGCTGCTGTAACCTCTCTGCGTCTGTACAAATCCGGGCCAGGTCTGGTTACAGTCAGTCTCCACCCCTTTACCAGCAATTAACATGTCTCCAGTTTGGGGTGGGAATGTTATGTTGCCATGGATTAGCACTTGGCATCAGTGCTGAATAGGCCGGTGTCTCTGGGCAGTTCCCAAACAATGCGTTTGATCCAGTGAAGGTCAGAAATCAATCCACAGCACAGTACCAGGACTCTGCACTCCTACAGCTCCATGCAGACAGCAGTTAGGCGATGTGTCAGGGTTCAGTGAGAACTATTGTACTGGAATGTTTATCAGGAAAGGGGCAAGAAAAGTCCTTCAAAATATTTAAAAATACGAGGTTAAACAATTATGATGTATTTTGTGCCAAGGAAAATCTGAACAGCGCTGAAGTCTGCACTGACCCCTGCCCAAAACATAAAATCATAGAATCCCTACAGTGTGGGAGCAGGCCATTTGGCCCATCAAGTCTTCATCGACCCTCTGAAAAGCATCCCACCCAGACCCACCCTCCTACCCTATTCCTGCATTTCCTAGGCTAATCCACCTAATTTACACCCCTGGACACTATGGGCAATTAAGCATGGCCAATCCATCTAGCCTGCACATCTTTGGACAATGAGAGGAAACCGGAGTGCCTGGAGGAAACTCACGCCCCAGACATGGGGAGAATGTGCAAACTCCATACAGACAGTTGCCTGAGGGTGGAATTGAAGCCTGGGACAAACATACACATCCGCGAAATGGTGATGACACAGTCAACAAAGTACTCAGCAAAAACAAAAAGCTTACTCAAGTACAAGAAAAAGTAGAACCCCCACAGACTGAATGAGCTACAATAAAGCAACAAAAGTTTTGGGACAGAGTAATAAGAAGTGCAAAAATAGATGATCAAAAACCCCCCTGAGATATCAGCGCTAACTGTGCAAGTTGAAATATTGGGAGAAGGGAAGTGTTGGGGAATATAGGGCATCAAAGAAAGAACCGGGGAATAATGGAATCAATAAAAAGGTAATGGCTTGTGAAAGGAATTTATGTATTGTTTACCATACTGGATAAAGAGAGCCTGACAAAGCTGTAATAATTTGCAGGGAGGAGATGAGCACATTTATGTAAATTTCATAAATGTGTTCACGTTTTTGAGGGTGAAACAAGCCGGCTGGACAGGGGGAGTCAGTAGATGAAGTGGGTTTGAACAGTTAAAAGGTATTCAATAAGAAACCACATAAATGTTATTGCACAAGATCAAGGTTTTGGTATTAGGGATGATATTTTAGCATGGGTTTGATGATTGGTTAGCTTATAGGAAGCAGAGAGTTGGGATAAATGGTTCATTTTTAATTTGGGAAGATGTAATGTGTGGAGGATCTGTGCTGGGGCTTGAATGATTTCCAACCTGTATCAATAACTTGGATGAAGGGACTGTTTATACTGAAGCCAGATGTATTGATGACTCAAAGATAAGTAGGAAACAAACTGTGAGAACAATAGAACAATACCAAGTTTTCAAAGGGATATATGTGAGTGGATAAAAAAATGGCAGAAGGAGCATAATGTTGGAAAATGTGAATTTGTCCATTTTGGCAGGAGCAAATGATTTAAATGGTGAGACATTGCAAAATGCTGCAGTACAGAGCAACTTTCTAATGAAAGGCCATTAACCCTGGGATTAACCCTGGCTCAGTTTCTGTCTCTCTATGGTCACTGCCTGACCTGCTGAATATTTCCAGCATTCCCCATTCCCTTTTATAAAGGCTTTAGACACCTGTCCTTATATGGCTGGGTCTCAGAGTTTGTTTGTTAACTCTGCTGTGAAACACTTTGCAACAGTGTACAAAATTAAAGGTACTATATAAGTGCAGGTTGTTGCTGTTGTCATGCCCTCTGCCTCTTCAAGACTTGGTTTTGAACCCTAATCAGATTCACAATTCGTTAACTATCCCTTTACTGTTTAAATATTCAGAAAAGCTATTTGGCTTGGTTTACATGTCCTCTGATGATAGTTTGTCTCTCTCTCTCTCTCTCTCTCTGTTTTCTGACACTCTACTCTGACTAGTCACTGACAGTTTCCAGAAACTTCACTTGCCTGTTTGATTGTAATCTCTTTTTTCTCAGAGTGCCCAGATTAGGGAGAGTGAGCCTGGAGTCTGTATATTGTGAGATGAGACAATGAAACATGAACTGCAGGAGCTGGAGCTACAGACATTAACGCTCCCTGGAAGGAAATGAGAATCTTTCTCTGGGGTCTTTAGGAACTGGGTGCTTGCTGTTTGGTCATACACTGAAAGAGAGAGAGGGTGCCTGGTAAGCAGCTAAAATTAGCAGGAGCAGTGGTACGTCAGCCTGCGTGTGTGGGCTCTGCTGGACTGGGAGATGCAGCTAGCAGCCAGAGCCTCAGGCAATGACATACTGCTGTTTACAGAGGCTGTCGCTCACAGCTGGTCTCTAAAAATAGGAAATGCTAAAAATACTGCCCTACCGTCATCACTGTAGTCGCCATTCTTTCTCCTCATTGGATTGTGTCCTGTTCACGCCATAGACTCCAGCCCATTCAGACCAATGCTCACAATCCATCTCTCACCTTCACCCTACACAAGCATTGAACCCCAGTCCATCTCTTGTCTGATGTAATGGACTGGGAAGCCTGGGTTCAAATCCCATCTGCTCCAAAATGTAATACGTCTCCGAACAGATTGATTAGAAAAATACATTAAATGAATAAAAAAATTAACCCCATTCTGTTTCCAATATAATATGCATCAAGATTAATCCCCAGTCTATCTCTAATATAACGTACAGGGATATTAACCCCTATCTATCTCTGGTCTAATATACAATAATATTAATCCCAGCCTATCTGTGATCTAATAAGTAAAGTTGCTTTATTCTTACTCAACCATCGGGATGCTGTTTCATTAGAGAGAAATGACTGATGATGATTTTAACCTGAGCGTTACCACACCTCAGGTGATGGGAGAGGTTGAAGGAGAGTACTTCATGCGACCTCCACCAATGCAGGAATTGAACCCATGCTGTTGGCATTTGTCTGCAATGCAAACTAGCCTTGCAGCCATCTGAGCTAACCATATCCGCAGCATCATTGCTCATTTCCACCTCTGAACACACCCGACTGTGCCCTGTCTCAGCTCGCCTACTGCTAAAACTCCCACACACACCTTTGTTTTCTCTGGAGAAAATGATCCACACACATTCCTGCCCAGTCTCCCTACGTTGACACTTCATAAACCTTTAGCTCATCTGAAATGGTGCTACTGGTGTCCCAGGGGCTGAGTGGGAAATACGCCTGTGTGTCAAAAGGCAAGGCGCACCGATGGGCTGAGTCAGGGCCCAGTACCAGATCTCAACTTCTTAACTGTTGGAGTAAACGGCACTGGGTTGGACATTGGCTGTTCCTAGTGTGCCCCTTAGAATGGTTAGCCAGTGCAAGGGTGTGGGTGGGATGCTCTTCAGTGGGGAGGTATGAACTCAATGGGCCAAATGGCCTGCTTCCAGACTGGAGGGATTCTATTGCTGAAGAAACTCAGTGGGCCCTGGCATTAATGTTTCGGGTCCAGTTCATCACCTTGTTTTGCTGAAGGGTCACCAGATCTGAGACATTAACTCTGTCTCCACAGACACTGTCCAGACCTGCTGAGGTTCTCCAGCAATTCCTGGTTTCAGATAGCGAGAATCCAGAGATCTTTGTTTTATTTCAATTCACCCGTTACACCTTTAGGGAGCGTGGGACTTGAACACAGGCCTCCTGACTCAGAGGTAGGGCTACTACCACTGCACCACACACAAGCCCCTCCAGTGGGTCACGTGTACGTTGAAGAAGGTGCTCATGGCCAAAGGGAAAACACTAGAGTGTCACAGCGGTCCTCCCGCCGCCAGGGGGCGGTCAGCGCGGTCCTCCCGCCGCCAGGTCAGCATTGTTCTCACGCCGCCAGGAGGGGAGGGAGCATCAGCGTGGTCCTCCCGCCGCCAGAGTGTGTGGTCAGGGCGGTCCTCCTGCCGCCAGGTGGTGTATTCAGCATTGTTCCCTCGCCGGCTGGAGGAGAGGGAGGGTAAGGGTGGTCCTCCCGCCGCCAGGGTGCGTGGTCACCGTGGTCCTCCCGCCGCCAGGGGGCGGTCTCTGTGGCGGGGGTAGTCGCGGCCTCGGACCGCAGGCTGTGAGCGGTGCAGATTCTCTGTGGGCCCTCGGCCGCAGCGATGGAGCTGAAGCCATTCGAGCGGCACCTGGCGTCGGTGAGCTCCGAGTTCGGTGGCAGTGAGTCGGGCGGTACAGGCCCAGGCTCCGGGGACTCTCTGCTGAGTGAGGCCGGGACCGAGGTTCACTACATCCCGGTGAAGATCCTGGGCAGAGGTGCCTTCGGGGAGGCCACTCTGTACCGGAGGACGGAGGTGAGGCCCGGGCCTGGGAGGGGCCGGTCAACATAATAAAATCCACACATACCACAGTCACAGGAACTAACAACATAACAACAGGTTCTATAACATTCACACTCACTGTCATTGTAACCACTACCTTCAATTAACTCAATAATCACCACCTTCC